CGTTAAACAATATTTACAACCCTTCGACATTGGCAAAGGTCCTACAATATCAATATGTACGTGTTCAAATCTACCTGAATTTTTAAAATCCACGATAGGAGCTTTGACATGCCTTACAATCTTTGCTCGCTGACAGGGAATGCAATGTCGTGCCCATTCCCGACAATCTTTATTTATGGCGGGCCAAACAAAACGGTCGGTTATTAACTTCTGCGTTGCTCGCACCCCTGGATGGGAAAGCCCATGCAGAGAGTTAAAAACCGCACGCCGTAGTGACACAGGTACAAAAGGTCTAACTATTTCGTTTGTCATATCGCAATATAAAGAAATATCGTAAGTAGGAAAATAAACTTTTTTCAAACGAAACACACACGAATTAGATTTTAAAAATTCCTCAAGCTCAATGTCTTGTTTCTGTACCTGTTCGAAAATCTTGTAATCGATAGGTAAAGATATAGATTCAATTCGTGATAATAGATCCGCCACGCTGTTTTCGATGCCCTTAATATGCCTAATATCCGTAGTGAACTGTCCTATATAATCTAAATATCGAAATTGACGCGGTGAACATTTCTCTAATTTCTGCTTAAATGCAAATGTCAATTGCTTATGATCCGTATAAATCACGAAGTCTCTTCCTTCTACCGAATGTCTAAATCGTTTAACTGCGATGTAAATTGCTAACAGTTCGCGATCATACGCACTATATTTACACTGAGCAGCAGAAAGGGATTTTGTATAAAACGCTAAAGGTTGCCAAACATTATCCACCAATTGCTGTAAAACAGCTCCGATAGCATAATCGGACGCGTCTACCGTAATATTAATCGGTGCACCCAGCATGGGATGCGCAAGTATCGTGGCATTTGCAAGTCCCTCTTTCACATTGACAAAAGCCTTCTCTGCCGCCTCAGTCCACGGCACAGGTATATTACCCTTTTTTGAACCTTTTAACAGGTCGTTCAACGGCTTCATTAAATTAGCAGCGTCAAGTATAAAACGTCGGTAAAAATTGACCATACCTAAAAATTTTCGCAGCAATTTTATAGTCGCAGGCTTAGTAAAATTTGCGATTACATCCACCCTTTCCGATAATGGTTTTATTCCATCCTTACCGACGGTATATCCCAAAAACGTAATATTATCCACGCCAAAAACACACTTCATCGGATTAATTACAACTCCATACTGATTTAAACGCTCGAAAAGCATTTTAAGATGTTCCTTATGCTCGACCTCATTTTCCGACGCAATAAGAAAATCATCGATGTATGCGTAAACAAAATCTAGTCCGCGAATTACTTGATCTACGAAACGTTGACATGTTTGTGCAGCATTCCGTAGACCAAACGGCATAAAAATGAATTCAAATAAACCAAATGGGGTTGTTATAGCCGTTTTCTCACAATCGCGTAACGCAACAGGAATCTGATTATACGCACGGACTAAATCTATTTTCGAAAAGATTTTTTTATTATGTAATGTTTGCGCAAAATCTTCAATATGCGGGGGTGTATACCTGTCAGGAACGGTGCGTGCATTGAGTGCCCGATAATCGCCGCATGGTCGCATTGACTTCCCGTCTTTCTTCGCTACAAGATGTAACGGCGAAGCCCACGGACTCTTGGAAGGTCGGATGATTCCTTGATCCAACATTAAATCAAACTCGGCCTTCGCTGCACGATGTCGCTCAGGAGCAAGACGTCGCGGCTTACTAAACACTGGCGGTCCTGGAGTAGTCTCAATGTAATGTTCAATATCGTGCTTCACCGTATCTCGTCCAAAAACAGGTGGCTTAGTAAGATCGGGATATTCTGAAAGAAGCTGATGATACACCGAATTGTCTATAATTGTCTTTACCGACGCAATATCAGTCTTCACGGATCGGCCGATAGCAAATAAATTTGTTATAGCATCGATAAGACGTTTATTACGTGGATCCACTAGCAAATTGTAATGTGCTAAAAAGTCCATTCCAATAATTGGCCCTTCAACATCGGCTACCACAAAACGCCAAATGAAATTACGACGCAACGATAAATTCAAATTCATTGCTATCGTACCATACGTCGCAATGCGAGTGCCATTCGCCGCGTACAGCTCATAATCTGATTTATATACACGACTGTTCACTCGCGATCGCGGAAAAACACATAAGTCCGCGCCCGTATCCACAAGAAATTGAGTTTTCGAATAACGGTCCGTAACAAAAATGCGGCCAGTTTTGGGACCGTCGTATTCTGCCGCCTTCACGTGCGACGGTCCTACTTGTTTTCCGGCTTGTTTCCTGACCAGTTGCACGGGGGAATGCACTTCGCAGCTCGTTCAGCATATTTGTGATGATACCAGCACAATTCACGAGAGACACTCTTATCCCGTTGCCGACTGTTACTAGAAAAACGTCTCCGAAATTGACTTGGCGCAGGCGATCGCCATCGCTGTCTGCGCGAATTATTCGCAACTGCATCTAGTTGAATACGCATCTGTTTCAATTCCTCTCGCAACAATTCCATTTCAGAAACGTGAGACACAACGGCAATTCGTCCACGCTCGACCGGTATTTCATGAATCCGATCCGCGATCTCGGCTAATTTAACTCCATCCTTATCGGACGTCGCTGCTAGCACAAGCTGCGTTTTTACTGGAAGACGATCCTTCCAAACTTCGGTTAAAAATTCATCGTTGACCGACGAACCAGCCAATTCCTTCAGATGACGCCAAAATTGTGTCGGGGTCCGGTCGCCAATTTCTTCCGTCTCCAATAATTTCCGGATGCGTGTTGTGCCCGAATCCGTTAGCCGTTTAATCAACTCCGTCTTAATAGCCTTGTACTTATCAAACTCCGGAGGATTGCATATAACGTCTTCTACTTCCTCCGCGTATTTTCCATCCAGCTGAGCTACCACATATCCAAATTTCGTCTCGTCCTTTGTAATACGACCTATAGTGAACTGAGCTTCTAGTTGCCGAAACCAAAGCGCTACTTTTTGCGGCCAAAAAACTGGAACTCTAATTGGAGCTGCAGCAACATTTACGGACTCGCAAGGTCCTTCTGCATCTCCGCCGACGGTCACCTTTTCTGTTTGATTTTCCGTCATCTTGCTTCTGGATCACACTTTCACTACACACCCCTCGGTATCCTATGTAATTCAAAATCACGTCGGGGTCACCACTTTAGGATAGCCACGGGTGTGTCTTTGAAATAAATGTGCACCAACTAACAAGAATAAAGTTTTTTATTCAAACAAAAACAAGAACTAAACAATCACAAACAATAACGAAACTATAACAAAACCAAACAGTTGATAAAAAATAAGTAATACAAAAATAATGAAATTATGAGGTATGGGACGTTGTTAACAGTTCAACGGTTGACGATGTTCTGTCCCAAACTGTCCGTTTCCACCGTCTTCCCATGGTTACCCGAGAAAACACATGTCTCGTTTTCCCAGGACTTTCCCGAAAAAGAGAAAGTTCTCCTTCAAGCACTTGGGAAGACGGCGACGTAATTCGAACCTACCCTGAACCTCTGCCATGCAGATGTTATAGCCTGGTAGGCAAAAATGCAAGGGAACGCCGAAACTGTAAAGGTCTGCTACACATCAGATTTTGCGATAGGCGGTATTTTGAGTCAAGGTCCGCTCGGGAAAGACAAACCGGTAGCGTATACATCGCGAGTATTAAATAACGCGGAATTAAATTATCCAACGATACAGAAAGAATTATTAGCAATAGTATACTGTGTACAACATTTTAGGCCGTACCTTTATGGTAAAACTTTTACACTCATAACCGATCACAAACCCCTTACTTGGCTGCATTCCGTAAACGACCCTACTTCAAGACTAATGAGATGGAGGTTAAAATTGGCTGAATATGAATACGACATCTTATACAAAGCAGGAAAAACAAATGTAAATGCTGATGCATTGTCGCGAAATCCGATAAAAGAATTCACTCAAGGAACTTTATATCCAATTAAAGCAGATGAATGGGATGAGTTAGTTTCTGAATCAGAAGACGAGGAAACCGCACACATCAGTAAAAATCCTATAGCAATTAGAACGCCGCCACCCCAAACCGCGCGAATGTCAGAAGAAAGGGAGCCAATCATCATGCGGTCGAATTTGATGACACGGAGTCAGTCGAACCGGGACCCTGGGGGGTCCGTGCCTTTTACCGAAAGGGAGCTTCGAGAGCGCCCCTTCAAACGCCACGTGGTCAAGGCGCAGGTACATAGGGACCCATCACCGGACAAAGTTTGCACGGCCTCAGAAAGGACTGTAACACCTGACTACGAAGACGTTCCTTTGTCATTACGCCTGGAAATGCAGAAAACAGTAACAAAACGCATAAGAAATTCAGAACTACATCCGGAATCGAACAGGGGTCAAGTGTCTTCCGACACCGCAGTGCCATCAACGTCAACATTAACTACCACGAATCCGTCAATTGAAGAAACCATATTTCCGGATACAAGAGACGAGGTAACCATGGAGAATCCTTTCGAATCCGAAGAAGAAAATATAGATAGCAGCAGTGAAAGTGACGCGGAGAGCGATGATTTTGACAAACGAATAAAGGATAAAGAAAATTGGAATGCAAGAGAAACCAGATCTACCCGAAATATTGTTTTGAATCAACGGGACAGACTTTATATGAGGAGAGATAATTCTTTATATTTTCTCACTGCCAAAGGTGAACCAATAGATGATGGAGCACAACAATTTGCAACGCGGAAGGAATTACCTAAACTCCATAATCCACAAATTGGTGATGCCATTTTCATTAATAAGGGCAAAAAACACCACGTAGCAATAATCTGTAAGTCTGTGAATGAGGATAAGTTGACCCGAGAAGTATTGTCTACAGCTTTTCATAATTTAAATAAGCAAATGGAAATCCAGCCATTTGAAACATTAAGCAGTGATATACACGAAGCGTACGGCAAGGCACAGGAGGCGCTGGAAATACTAAAAATATGGTGCGACAGCACAGGCCTGTCGGTTAATCCCGATAAATTGGAGGTTGTGCGTTTTACCAAGCGCATCAAAATACCGGAAACCGAACCTTTGAGGTACGAGGGTAAGGTACTAAAATTGGTGGACGAGGTGAAATTTTTAGGGGTGACATTCACCAAAAAGCTACTATGGAAAAGGCACGTCTTCAATAAAGTAGCTTGTGGGAAAAACAATCTATATATGGTGAGTAGAGCCATAGGAGGAACATGGGGGTTCTCCCCTCGCATCACGAACTGGATATACAAATCCATAGTGGTGCCACGGGTGACCCATGGGGCTATCGCTTGGTGGCAAGCAGCAAAGATGACCACAGTAAAGAACAAACTAAATAGCCTGCAAGGGTTAGCACTTAGGAGAGCACTGGGGTCGTTAAGTACCACCCCGTTAAGGGCAATGGAGGTACTAACAAACACGACCCCCCTGGACACGGTTATTTTAGACATAGCAATCAGAACAGCGCACAGGCTGAAATGCTGGGACAGCTGGACGGGGAACAGCTACGGTCACGCATCAATTATCCAAACTGTAGCGAACATGGAGATGAATAATTGGATGAGCATGAACCAGGATAGATGCGCTCCTAGTATGATACCAGAGCAACTATACCAGGTATTTATCCCTACCAGGGAACAATGGAGAAGAAACAAACTGGCGACAGGAGACCACATGGATTGGTATACTGACGGATCAGGTAGGAATGATCTGGCTGGAGCCGGGTGGACAAATGGAAGTACAGAGAAGCACTACGTAAGCCTAGGAAGGAACGTTACGGTGTTTCAGGCAGAGGCAGTAGCAATAATAAAGTGCACACAATTATTAATGGACAAGGGTATAAAACAAAAGTCAATACGCATTTTTACAGATAGCCAGGCGGTGTTGCTGAGCGTCCAAAAGCTCATGCACACCTCAGCGACGACTAGAAAATGTAAGGAATGTATTAACGAGTTGGCATCCAGGGGCAACAAGGTAATGTTGTGCTGGGTGCCGGGTCATAAAGGCATTCCAGGGAACGAAACGGCGGATAAATTGGCAAATTTAGGGTCAAGAAGGGCTCCACCGGAAGGAGTGCCTAGGCAGGTGCCGCTAGCGGAGGCAGTGTTCGCACTCGGTAGGAAGAAATGGCGTGAAGACCAAAGGAAAAGGAAGTGGGAGTCGGCGGAGGGATGTAGAGTAGCGAAAATAATGATAGGACAAAATCCTGTGTATAAAAATTGGAAGGATCTGATGAATCTTCCACGTGAAGACACGAGAAGGGTGGCGGGACTGTTAACAGGGCACGCCATCCTCAATTTCCATTTGACAAGGATGGGCGAATTGCAGGGAGAAAGATGCGATTTCTGTGACGAGGACACAGCCGAGACGGCCGAACACATATTGATGAGATGTCCAGGACTCATGGAAACACGCTTCAAGAGATTTAGGAAAGCGATATTGGAAGAAGACGACGTACCTCAACTTCCAATTAGAGGAATTCAAGAATTCGTCCAGGATATAGACAAGAAACGGCCCAGGGAAGAGGAGGAAGAGGTTCTTTTTCAATCCCTGTTTCAGAGTTTAGGTAATAAACGATGAATATAATAAGTATGGGTTAAAGAATAAAAGATTATGGAAGTACGAGAACGCAAAGTAATGGAATTCAGAAAGGGATGAAAGTGTCTGACGTGTAAAACAATGGAAGGAAGGATGCCACAAAGATAGTATATAATGTATAAGGATGCGATAATAACGATGTAAAATATTAATAAAAAGTTAATATTGAGTAAATGTTAAGTTGATAAAATGAACCCCACAATTATAGATAAGATAGAAATAAGTTTGGGGATATAGGATAGGAGGACAAGAGGGTCGTAATACGTGAAAAAGGGGATAAAAAAAGAAAGGAAATGGGTGGGAAAAGAAATAGCGGACAGGGGAGGGAAATATAGGGGGATATGTATTTCGATACCTAGATTCCCATTACGCGAGATAATTGGGGAAGCATAGGTAACTTTAGGAACATATAAGAGAGGAGTGGGGAGCGTGTCAAAACAATGTGTAGAACATAGGAAAAGAGGATGAAGGAAAAGAAAAAAGAAGAGAAATATATATAAGTATATAAGTTTCAATATGTATACACAATAAATGAAAAAAGAAAATATAATAAAAAAGAAAAAAAAAACAACAACCAACTCCAAAAAAAAAGAAAAAAAAACAACCCCAAGCACAAGTTCAAAAACTCAAGGACGAAAGGTAAGTGTATACACAAATATAATAAAGATAAAAAGAAAGGAGAATGAGAGAGAA